TGTGGGAGTTGGAGTCCAAAACATCTTGTGGAACAAGACCTCCCTAGCCCTTGGGCCTTGGTGCAAATCAAATCTGAGTTATTCCTAGAAACCACAATGAGACTGTTGTACTTCAAACCAATAGTGAGAAGACATGGCTCATTAAAAAAAGGCAATGATGCTTGGGAAGGCAGTAAGAAAAGAGAAAGACGTGAGACCCACCCACCTGCCTCACTACAGGTGGATATTATTTATTTATTGTATTTATATACTGCTTCTCTCACCCCAGGGGAATGGGGGACGGGACGGGACTCAAAGCGGTTTACAACAATAATGGCAAAATTTAATGCCTCACATACATATAAAACCAAATCATATAATTATGCATTAAAATCAATAAGACAACTAAACATAAGACAGCATTTAGACATAAAAAATTAAAACCACCTACATAATATAAACATTAAAATCACATGATCCAAACTTGTAGATTGAGGCCATTCCAAATATTGATTGCACATATTCCAGATGCAATCAAAAGACACAATCAAGAAAGCCATGGCCCCGAGTCTGTAAGGCCTGAACCGGGAAGTCTTGGAGGTCTCTCATTCATAGTTCCCATAAGTTGAAGTCAACTTGAGAGTAATTAAAAACAGAAAAGGAAAGTTTGCACTGATTTTAAAGGTATATTTCTTAATGACAATATTGTTTCCTTTCTAGTAAGGAAAGAAAACACTCTGTAGTCGGTGCAGAATTGAGTTGTCTGTTAAAATTCTATCTCTGGAAAAAATATTGAACAATAACTTGATAATGTTTTTGAATATCAGGACGAGCATTCTGTAGGCCTCCAACAGTTGTTGGATTGCAACTCCCAGAAGCCCTAGTCAGCTTAGCCAAGGTGAGGAATGCTGGGAGTTGTCGTGCAATATCAGAAAAATAGCACAACCCCTGTCTCTTGTGTGTGTGTCAGTGAGAGAAAAAAATATTTTATCTATAACATATGTTTTATGCAATGTGGGATTCAAGGTAGCTAATAATATAAATTAATGTGCAGTTAAAACAGTGTGTAATATATTTAAATACATTGAGCAGTTAATCTCCTTTTAACACTTTAGTCAAAAAAGCACATTAAAACCATATTTAAAAATACCATAAATCCCTTGATGTAATGTTTACAGCAGTCTGAGTCTCCTGAGCTCTTGCTAAGAGACTCCTATCCCATCTCACAAATATTTCTGTACTGCATACAGGAAGCAAGAGCAAGGGGAGGAGCCGTGCTATTTATTTGTGTTGGGAAGTACTTTGGTCCTTGCTGGCTCCATTGTTCTGGGCGAGGCACAAACATTTCTTGCAGCACAATCACTGCCAAGGCTGGGAAGACAAAAAGGGGAAATGTCATTTTATTGGGGGTATGTAGGAGGAACCACAAAGATGACATACATGATCATTGCTTCCAGGCTTCGGCTTTCTCTGTTTAAGAGAGTGCAAAAGCTCAATTGCTCTTTAGAACAGTGGTTCCCAACCTTTTTTTGACCAGGGACCACTTTGACCAGGAACAACTTGACAAGGGACCACTTTGACCAGGGACCACTTGACCAGGGACTACTTGACCAGGAACCATTCCCCAACATTAGTACCAAAAGGGTTACAAATCAGTTTTTGGTCAACTTTAGATTCGGTTTGGTTATTTGGGATGCTGATTCAGAAAATTGCATTGGATAGACCACATCAGCTCTAGTTTCTGATACAGAACATATGCCATCCAGTAGTCACCATCTGATCACCCACAGAAAACCATATTTAATAATCTAGAACCTCGGACCTTATTTTAGGTCTCATGACCCCACCAATGGGCCACAACCCATAAGTTGAGAACCACTGCTTCAGAAACTGCAGTATTTCTGTTTTGAACTTTCTTGTAAGAGATGTAGAGATCAGGACTCTGGGAGACTAGAGTTCAAATCCCTGCTCTGCCATGTAAAGTCAGTGGGTGACCTTGGGCATGTCATGTTCCTCAGCTTTAGAGAAAGGCAAACCTCCTCTGGAAACACCTTGGAGTAAGTTTGAAGGCACATGTCAACAGTAATACATAACAAAAATAAAAACAACAAAACAAGATTCACCTTTCCGTGAAATCCAAGAATCCTTTGGTTACCATGGCCAGTGACCGTATTATTTGAAAGGGATTCTTGGAGTTATTGTTTTTTCCAATATTAAATCAAATCCCCTACTTAATGAAGGAGAAAGTGGGGAAAAGATGGACATTGACCCAGGAAAGATGTGAGATGGTTGGCCATCCCAGATGGCAGAGAAAGATGGTAGGGAACAGGGTGAGATGGTTCCCTCCACTTTCTCTTGTTGTCCCTCTGCTTGTTGGGTGAAGTTCATAGTGCTGTGTTATGGAAACCCTTGTAAAAGGGTGTTGTGTTGAGAAATGTGCCTGCCCTTACTGTCCATGAACTTGACTGCTCTTCCCAAATATGCCTGCAGCCAAACAAAACAAACTGTTGCCATTGTATAATCTAGGATAGAGCAATAACCTCTCAGACTGAAGGAAATGGCTTGGATTCCAATGATTTTTCTGGAGGAGTATATACACTCCTCTGATTAAGAATCTTTGCAGTATCAGCATAGCAGCCTCGCGTGAGCCAGTGTTGGGATTCTTTGATGTAAGAAGAAATCATTATGGAAGGGCCAAGGCAGCTGTTTTGAGCACCCTCGAGTTATAATAGTTTTCATTTCCCTCTGTTCTTTAAAGTCTGTTTCTTCCTATAAAAATAAAGGGATCCACCTTATCTAAGTGTTTCAAAAAGGTAATATATCTTTCTCAAAAGCAGGGTTGGAGAACTCACAGCCTTTCAGAAGTAAACAGACCATTACTTCTATTACTCCATCATGGGACACACTGCTTGGGGCTGATGGGAAATGTGTTGGCTTCAATTATTGATACTTTGACATAGAATGTGTCTACACTGTAGAATTAATGCAGTTTGACCCTGTCTTAACCATCATGGCTCAATGTTATGGAATTATGGAAGTTGTTTTGCAATGTCTTTAGCCTTCTCTGTCAAAGAGTGCTGCTACCTAACCAAACAACAAATCCCATAATTTCATATCATTGAGCCATGCTGTTAAAGTGATGTCAAACTATAGTGTTGATGCAATCATAATTGCAAAACAATTGGGGCAGGCAACCTGGCATCGTCCACATGATGTTGCACTACAGCTCCCATCCCCCTTGATAATGGGCGATGTTGCCTGGAGCAGATGGATTTGGGAATCCAACATCTGAAGGGTCACAGCTTCCTCAACCTGGGTAGTAAGGTTCAGAAAGGTAAGTTTTTCTTCCTTCCCCATATCATATGAAAGAAATGGAAGAATAGCCATAGTAATTTCCTCTCACAGGATGATGAGGTTCAGTATGGGCTGTAAGTTAGTAGGGATAGAAGAGGGTCTTCCTGAAAATATGACTCAATTCTGTCCAGGTGTGATCACTGCTTATTGTTCAGTTGCACTTTTCCCTCTTAGGGAAATCTATATAGTGTCCTACAGATTCCATCATTTGCTGAAGGTCACCCAGAGCCATGACCTTCAGCAATTCATAGACTTTTTATTCAGGTAGGCTTTTAAAGAAAAGTACAAATAAACATCATAAACATCATCATCATCATCATCATCATCATTTCAGTATCAGAGAAAGACAAAGGCAAGCCTCCTTTCAATAAATCTTGCCAAAAGAGCCCTAGATAAGGTTCTCAAAATTGGTACTTGGTTTGAAGACACAAAAACAACAACCCAGGCCCCTTCTACACTGCCATATAATCCAGGTTATCAAAACAGAAAATCCACATTCTCTTATTTGAACTGGATTATTTAGTCTACACTGCCATACAATCCAGTTCAAAGCAGATGTGGATTTTATACAGCTGAATAGAAGGGGACTCTGTTTACCTTTCAGAGTTTGCATACTTAAAAAGTTAAATAGCCCTAATGTGCAAAGTTCATGATGAGATTGGTCAACACTGAAAATGAAGACAGCTGCTGAAAAGGGGAAAAATTCTGATTTTGATCTGGTCTTCTCTATTTTTGGGAGGGGGTGGGTAGGTTGGATCTACAATGACATATAACCCAGAGGTCATCAATGCAGTTAATCCATATTATTTGCTTTGAATTGGATTATCTGAATCTACACTGCCATATATTCCAGATTATCAAAGCAGATAACCAGGATTTTATATGACAGTGTAGATGGCCGTTAACCACTTCCCCATCACACTGGTTTTCTAATCTTCACTGGGCCTTATAGCTGCTGTTAGCTTCGTAGAAAAGTTCCTATGCTGTCTCTCTATCCCTACTTTATGCTATTTCTAGTTCTCTCCTTGGTTTTGACAGTGTGGTCCCATCTCCTGCCCCACCAGCCTCAGAGGGCATGAGCCATTGCTGCAAATATGTACTGATGCTAACCAACAAACTGATAGTGGAATATGCTGCCTTGAGCCACACAGCTGTACAAAATCCAAATTGAACTGGATTATGTGGCAGTGTGAGCTCAGATAATCCAGTTCAAAGCAGATATTGTGGATTATCTGCCATGATATTCTGGGTTATATGGTTGTGTGGAAGGGCCCTTGGAAAATGGAGGAGTCTTCTTCTCTGGATATGTATAAATAGAAGTTGGATGGCCATCTGTTGAGGGTTCTTTGTGCATTCCTGAATGTCGAGGTTGGACTGGATGACCCTTGTGGTCTCTTCCAACTCTATGATTCTATTATTCTAAGGGCCCTTCCACCCAGCCCTATATCCTAGAATATCAAGGCAGAAAATCCCACAATATCAGCTTTGAACTGGGTTATCTGAGTCCACACTGAGATGTGAGATTTTCTTCCTTGATATTCTGGGATATAGGGTTGCGTGGAAGGGTCCTAAGATGTACATGAACTGATGACCTTAACCCCTTTCTTGCCACTGGTTCAGAAGTAATTTAGCTGCTCTTTAATGGCATCAATTTGTTTCTTTTTCAGAACGTGGGCAAAGCACTACAAAAAGGCTGCCGTTACCTGGTCCTCGGCTTGCAGGGGTTAGCCAATGCCTATTCGTCTCCGCTCGGAGTGGCCGCTTCAGTAGCCACAGTGTTCCGCTAGCCCTGAGAGGAAGATGCTGGCATTGAAGCACAAGGATGTTTCTCCTTTCCTTACGCACTTTGCCTTTGGGAATGACTTCAACTCAGTAATAAGGAGAAGAAATGGATCATATTGAACATTAAGGAGCATAGGCTGATATGCTCTGTTTTGAACAAATTATTCTTACTGTTTGCACACGGGGAGATCAGATCAAAAGCACAAGTGAGACCAAAGGTTGGATTAGCATTGATTAATTATGCCAGACTGAGAAAATATATCACACGTGAGCATAGCATACATAGATATACACTCACAAAAGGAGGAAGAAAAGGAAAGTAAATGAGGTGAAGAGGCAAGACTGAGGAATAAAAGAGAGATAAGGAGAGAAAGAGAAGGAAATAGAAGAAAGGAAATGTTGGTCTCTCCCCACACCCACCCAATCAAGTCTGTGGTGCCTTTACATGCTTTGAGACAATCTGGCATTCAACAGATACAGCTGTCTACAGTACTGTCTCTCTTTAATATCTGTATCACTGTATTACATCCTGTAACCACCACCAATCTGTTATAGATACTTTGGAACCTCGTGAGATAATTCTAATGAGGCAGGTTTATCAGATTCAAGGAATGGTTGCTTTCATTTTTCTGAGGAATGCACAGAATGAAATGTTTTTGCCAGTGTTGGGATATAGTGGTCTTTGTTGTTGTTGATGTGTGCCTTCAAGTCACCTCTGACTTATGACAACCCTAAGGTAAACCTATCAGGGAGTTTTCTGGAGCTGAAAGTGTGTGGCTCACCAAAGGTCACCCAAGTAGATTTCCATAGCCAAACAAGGAATCGGATCCTAGTTTCCACAGTTCTAGTCCAATGCTCAAACCACATCATGCTACACTTTGATGTAATATACTATACAAAGATGTACTTCACTTTAACAGGCCTAAAAGGATTGGTTTAACTGGGAAATCCCTGAGTCACTGTCTATTCAGTTTCTCCCTTGGCATTTTAAAAGAAATTGTTACTGATTGTCCAAGATCAGAAGCTTTTCTATGACATACAGCTTTGGCATTCAGATTGTATTAAAACTGATTTTTCAAAAAGGGGATGGGTCAATACAGAGTTGGAAATATGACATTTACACACATCACTATCTTAGTTTATCCTGTCAATAACCAGAAAATGCCTGAGTTAAAAAGAAGAAAAATATCTAGAATTCTTATTGAAGTTAAGAAAAAATAGTTAAAAAGCACATAGTTACAAACACATCTGATCTGAGATTACAAAAATGGATAGTAGGAATTTTTAAAAAATTATATTTGACTTATAGAAGGCACTGGAATAGGTGGGAATCACACTGGTCACTGATTAAACTGTGTGCCCATCACACACACAACTATTACTTTAAAATGTCTGGCTTTCTCCGCAGCATGAGTATTTTTAAATTGTACAAGGAACATCTCTAATCCTGTAAATACCAAAGGGCAGTAGCAATTACTTTGCATACTCGTATACAGTATAATTCTAGGGTCAATGTAAGTACTTTACCTTAGCTTTTATCAAAAAAGGAACCATCCCCTTCTCTAAGGAGCCCCTGTGCCGGCAGGACTGATTAAACCCCTGTGCCGGCAGGACTGAAGACCGGCAGGTCGCAGGTTCAAATCCGGGGAGAGGCGGATGAGCTCCCTCTATCAGCTCCAGCTCCTAATGCGGGGACATGAGAGAAGCCTCCCACAAGGATGATAAAAACATCAAAAATCATCCGGGCATCCCCTGGACAACGTCCTTGCAGATGGCCAATTCTCTCACACCAGAAGCAACTTCTGACACGACAAAAAAAAAAATCCCCTTCTCTGACTAGAGTGGTGAAAGGCAAGAGCTTATTCTGTCCTGGAAGAACCTAAAAGAAACACCAATTCTCTCTACCATAATTACCAGGCTGCAGTTGAAATAGATGCAGGGAATAAGGATATATAAGTAGGAAGGATTTTTGTATTATAGCATTGAATAACTAAAACCATTTCCTGAAATGCTGTCGGCATCAAAAAGATCAGTTGTTTAACCTAGGTGGAAAGAAATTTCCCTATGCTGCCATTTATAGGATTAGTTTGTATAGTATTGACAAGCAAATCCAATCATTATATATTTTAAGAAAATATCTTTTGCTTAGATAATAACTAATGTTGCATGTCTTTATTTGACTTTTATTAGTATTGACAAGACAATCCAAATTTTGTGTATTTCTACTTAGATAATATTTTTATAATAAATAATAAAAAAGTTTATTTTTAACCTGCCCTCTCTCTCCGAAGGGACTCAGATATCTTTGCTACCTAATATAATTGAGCTAAGAATATACATTTATTTTAGAAAACAAACTTAACAACTGCCTTATTCTTGTTTTCATATATAAACCTAGTGACAAATAAGTAATGTAACAAAATAAACAGTTTTAATTGAATACAGTTTGAGTGTAAACAGTATTTTATTTTTTCCTAAATATTTACTGCTTTTCATTAATGGATGGAAATAGATTTTATTTATGTATGTATTTACAGTATTTATTACCACTTTTCTCACCCCTGGAGGGACTCAAAGTGGTTTATTCAGAGATACGTAGACCAAGGACCTCATAACACTAGAGAATGAATCCACCTCCTCCTGCACTATTTCGGTGTTTGTAGTTTAGTGAAAAGCCCTTAACAGCCTCACTAAACTACAAACACCAGAATTCTGGAGGAAGAAACCAGATTTAAAATGGATTCATTCTCTAGTGTGATGGAGTAGTAAATCACAATCAACACTATATAACAATGGTTCTCAACCTGTGGGTCCTCAGAAGTTTTGGCCTTCAACTCTCAGAAACCCTAACAACTGGTAAAAAGGCTGGGATTTCTGGGAGTTGTAGGCCAAAACACCTGGGGACCCACAGGTTGAGAACAACTGCCATATAACCAAACAAAATCAATAGGACAATAGGATGGTAAATTCTGAGATATACCTGTGTAACTCTGCCTAAACACTCAAAGGGAATCAATTGCTTAGAGAGGTGGTCGGGTCTCTCTCTGCAATTCTTCAAAAGGAAGCTGGACAGCTACCTGCTGGGGATACTTTAGCTGGAGATCCTGCACTGAAGAGGAGTTTGGACTCAATGACCATGAGACCCTTTCCAACACTGTGATCCTATGACTGGATTTTTCACCACCCAGGGGAGCACCTCCACCAAGAATGTGACAAGGATAGCTCACTTTCCAGATTCAGTGTGTACGCCTGCAATCCATGTACCTATCGGGTGACATGCAACAGGTCTAACATTTTAGATCTGGCCAACTGTAAGCATGTGGATTGTCGTAACTCATCCTCCATGATAATGATGCACTCCCATGCTCTCTCCCTTCTCTCTCCCTTTCTCTCCTACTCAAGAAACTGCCTCATGGTTGCTAAAGGGCATGCGTCTGATGTGCCAATGACAGAGCATTTAACAGATGGAGACAGATTTTTGTTATGTCTGAAGTAGAAGGAAGGCACAGGGGGAACACACAGAGGCAGCTGTAGCAGTGTTGCAGCCTCTTCCTCCTTCCTCCTCATCTCCGAAACTGGTATCTGTGTTTCTCCTGTCACTAAGGGACATGTGCCTGCTGTGCCAATGCTGCACTACTCAGAGAAGTTGAGCAAGAAATGTGTATAAAAAGGGAAGTTGATTTTTGCTATGCTTAAGGTTGAAGGAAGGCATCCTGGTGGAAAACACTTGCTTTTTCATAGGCACCAGTCAATCCTCAACAGTGCATGCATGTGCCCCTTGGAAGTCCCACTCACAGTTTGAGAACCACTTTTCTAATCAGTGCTGAATAGAAAGATGCAAACCAAATCTCTCTTTTAAAAATGGCAACAAAATGAGTTTGCTTGTTTGGGTTTTGTTTTTTGTTTTTTGTTTTTTTGTGTGGTTGATCCCAATCTCTTTGTTTCAGGACAGTTCAGTGTCAATCATTTAGGTCTCATGAAGATGTAAATTAATGTTTTACAAAAATTATGCAGGTAAAACTTTGACAAAGGGCCAGCTTGCACTTCTCTTCTGGCAGATTATTTGTGTTTCAGCGATCCGAACTCATGGATCATTGGTGTGGAAAGAGGCACCATTGTTCTAAGGAGGAAGGGCTTTCGACACTACATTTGAAAAGGTCACAGGAAGTTGTTACTTTAAATTAATATCCTCCCTGCAATAAATTCTTGTTTCCAGGACACTGTGTCCAAAGGTAAGTACAGCAGAACATGGATACAGTAATGCTCAAGTGACCAAGCAGGTAGACACTAGGAAACCTCTAACAGAAAACAACAATGGCTCTGTACATTCCTCAAAGTGATTAGGATGGAGGAAAAGACACTTGTTTTAACATGATAAATGTCTTGGTCACAGCCCTTATCATCCCCAGACAGCATGTCACACAGCTGGGTATGAAAGAGATGTAGTTCAACACATCTAGAAGGCCCTGGGAAACCTTTTTCAAACAGAAAAGAAAAGTGTGTTCCCTTAGCTGTATGTGAGATAGATAGATAGATAGATAGATAGATAGATAGATAGATAGATAGATAGATATTCCACCCTATATCACAAGCTCACCAGACAGTGTACAAATAAAATTAGTATTAACACAGCAAAACAATGTAAAACAATAACATAATTAACATGAAGATAATGAAATAATTAAATGGCATTATTAAACATAATCTAAATAGACCAAAGTATATGAAATGAGAAGTTAAAACAGCTTTAAAGATTAAAGATATTTAGAGTATTTCAATGCATAATGCATTAATGCCCTAATGACGAAATATTTTGGAACGAATCAATTCAGCTTCAAAAGCCTTGTTTTTATTTTGTGCTCAAATACAGGCAATAATGGGACACAGAGAAGTCCTTCCAGAAGATCATAGTCTCCAGAGAGGCATATATAAAGGAAAGCATTTGGTCATATATTCAATTCCCAAGTCATTTACAGTTTCAAGTTAGTATTTCATTGGGAACTCACATAGCAAAGGTCAAATTCAAGTAGAGAATCACATTGGTTAATCTAGTGACAATTGGTTCGTCTAAATATTTTGTATTCCATGACTTTTGACTTAGAACAGTATCCCAGTGATGCAATTTGAAAATGTTCAGTAACTGTTTGGGTGATGAGCAAAGATTCTCCTCTAGAGGGCAATGGAGGCTGAGGCCCCATTTACACTGGCCATTTAATGCAGCTTCAAACTGTGGGCACCCAGACAACAGATTCCCTCAAAAAGGCTCAACAGAAAGTCCTTAATGCACACTAGTGCTTTGTGGTTTGTGTAATCACCATTCAGGCCTCAGATTGGTTCCAGGACTTCCTAAGTAGTCATCTGCACAGTGAAACTACTACAATCAGTAGCAATTTGAAGCTGCATTAAATGGTCAGTGCAGATGAGGCCTGTGAATTGTTTGTTTGCTTTGTCAACCTATAGTTTGAGGACCAAACTAGGCATAATATTAATTGTCCAGGTGGAACTCTGCTACACTTTTTGTTATTGTAGATATATAACATAGCATGTGTGGGCTAAGAACAGGCAGAACTAGAGGTGTGTAAATGTCCATAAGGGCTCTTCCACCAGCTGTCACATCTGCTCACTCCTTGGCCATGTTGAGAAGATCAATCTATTTGTTTGTTTTTGAATGAAAGAACAAGCATTTGTGCAGGGTTTACAATCAGTTGAAGGAGTCTGCCATCATGTAAGTTTGATTCCAAGACCCACCAGCTCTAGCCAACATGCGAATGGTAAGCAAACCTGGATTTTGCAGTTCAAAACCATACACATTCCTTCT